ATGCTCAAAGTCTTTATATTCAAATTACCATATCAGAAGACTTGCATAAGCTTTGCCTCTATGGTGGATAATTTAAGTGCTGTTAAGGATAACAGAAGAAAACTGAAACTGTTTAATAGCAATCTTAGGATTCAAGTGATTACCATTGTTTGTTCAGGCCCTGGAAGACTCAATGTCACAACAGCAGGAGCTGTTGGCTTATATTGAGAAGAAGAAGAAAAAGAAGAAGTTGGTAAGCGGCGTAAGCCACCTGACCCTAGCCTTGGTCAATTAGTTTGTAGTCATAAGTACTGATTTATGCAAATTTCTCTCATACTAAAACTGTATTGTTTGCATTGCAGTTCTGGTGAAAATAAGAAAAGCAGGACACAGCAGATTTTCAGGCACCAAAAACTGGTGCTAGAGTGACTCTCTATTTCCCAAGGCCTACTAAATGCCTCATAATGTAATGTTTTCCATTTATACTGTACAAATGTAAAGTTTTGTTAAGATATATAAATTGACATTCTTTTACACTAATACAAATCTTTGAAATTAAAATTAATCCCTTATAGATCTATCTATACATAGTTGCATACTTCACAGGGAGTGTTTTTTTTTTTTTTTTTCAGCTGTTCAGTTTACTTTGTCAGACACGTATTTCCCAGTCCGAGTCAGAGCATGAAAAGACAAAAATATCCTTAATGATTTGATGCATGTGAAATATGAAATGATCACTAAGGGTGTTTTTGGATTTTCATGCCTGAATTGGCATTAAAATTAGTTTTTTCAGAATGAAAATCTGAGCTCTCTCTTATGTTATTATAGTCTTCTTTTTTTTTTTTCATTAAAGATGCATTCAACTCAAACTAATTTAAAATTGATATATGTCGAATCCTATAAAAAAAATTTTCTCCCCTCTTTATTTTTTCATTCATAAGATTTAAACTCGATATTTTATTTAAAGGTATAGTTATAGCCACCCAATAAATTGTTAAGACTGTACAAAAAGAATTCAATTATATTTAATCTGATTATTAAGAATAGTTAATAATTATAATTATTAATTATTAATAAATAAAATAAATAATATTTATTATATAATAATTTAAAATTAACTTATAAAATAATATTTTCTAGCACCTTAACAATTATAAATCGACAAGACTAGATAAATTAAACACATATATCGTATTTTGTGGTGGGGGACGGAATTGAAAACGTTCCCCAGGATGAAGAGGAAATATTCTGGCCCTTTAAAGGGTTCATATGCCCTGCCAGTTTTATTGCTTTTCAGTTATTTCAACAAATGTAAAAACCAGCAATTTCTTTTGAGCTTCCATTCCCTTCTATAAAGTATAAACCCTTGAGATCCACTAAACATTTATGAAGCTTCTTAGCAGTTCTATAAAAGCTGCAGCTGAAAAATAACTGAAAAATGAGCATCCAGAGCTCCAAGTTTCTATAAGAAGGCCAAAGTACAAAATCTTGAGCCTGCCTTCATCTGGAGTTCACAGAGTCAGTTTCATAATCGCAAACTCATGCTTCCATCCTCAACCTTCAAGTTTCTGGAATTTTTGGGTGTTTTTTTTCTAGATGTTGCTGCTACTGTAACTATGAATGAAATATGAAGCACATGGCTGGGGGACAAGGCACAGTCCTCTACTTCTAAGATCTGGCTTGAGTTCTTTTCCTTCTCCTTCTCCTTCCCGTGAGGCCTGCTAATCATATATTGTGAACTCTGTTAAACCTCTTCTGGGAAAAATGCATTCATTCCCTATAAATAGTTAACTATATTTCTTCTTAAATTCCAAAGAGACAGAAGGTTAATTTTATACCACTTGCATTCTTGTACTAGGCTTCTTGTGTGATGAATTCATATATGGCACGGTCAATGTCTGCAGCAAAGAATTAATCACCAATTTAATTAAGAACAAAAAGCAATCTCTTTTCATGACATTTAAAACTATTAGCAAAAAACCTTCGGAGGAGAAAGATGATGATAATCATCAGTTCATTACCTCGACTTGGTCATGGAGGAATTGAATATACCCTATGGCTTCAGTTAGCACAGAGGCCGTATCAGTCTGCAAATAAGAACTCAACATAGAAATATAGATACTTCATTAATTAAGCATGGTCCAAGTGATATTTTTAATGTCTTTCATATATGGAGAGAAATAAAGCACCTTGCCAAAAGGTGCCACTAGCTTCTGAAGAGCTGCAATCCTGTCTCCTAGTTTCTCCTTTCTAACCTAGTAACCGAAAACCAAGTTTTCAAGCTGTAATAGAAATCTTTTGGAAGAAAAAGATATGAAATTTGCTTCTTGAAGGGTATTGAAAATATCATTACCTTCAATGTTGGGGATGGAGATCTTGCCATGGATGATCGACACTTCTTGATGTCTGCATGAGACTCCTTTGACCCAGAAATGCTACCAGGCCTCTTTGTGTTTGTTACTCCATTTGAAGATTTCTTTGTACTAGTGTTCTCCCCATTGTAAGTGGAAGACAAAAGATTAGAAGCTTTTAAGTTCAACCCCAAAGAACTTGGAAACAATGTAGAACAAAAATTTGAGGATGGAATGTTTGTACTAGGAAAAGTATGGTTAAAGTGATGATGTCTGCTAGTTGAAATAGGTGGGTTAGGAAACAAGGCTGCTGATGAAAGCTGCAGTTCAGTTGACATAGGGCAATTATGATCCAAAGGGAAACCAGTATGCCATTGACAATCAACAGATTGGTGAAGAAAGCTATCTTGATTCACAGGACTGCGGATTAAAGGATTACAATTGCTTCCATAACTTTCATTCCTGCATGATCATATATGAACAGTGCACATAGCATGAAATGAACTCCATGATCTAACTTATAAGCTTGGAAGGACTTAAGGAGTACAGAAGTGGGATGAAAATTCAGCAACTTACTGGCTCATAGTTGGAATCCATTCATGACATGATCGAGCCACCGGAGAGGAATATGCAACAAACTCTTGTTCAAGTTGATCATCATGGACATATGGGGACTCCATAACAAATCCCAAAATCAGTCAGTGTATATAACAAAAACAAAGTACTAGCTAGTTTCCTTCTTGATTTCCTCCACTTAAAAGTAGCATTTGAAGTAGAAAGATACGGATACACTGACGTCTCCCTCCTTGCTGTACCATTGCAGAAAAAGTTTATGCAGCCTCAGCATGCTACTGGAACCTTAATGGTTATGGACATACTTTGTCTCATGTATAATATTTACAAGAATGTGTTGCGTTTCAGAGGAGAGAATTTAATTAATAAACAATAGGGGACTAAGATCATGGGCAACATTGCAAATTTGTCGTACATTGCCTTACCTTCACTTTATTCTTTTTTTATTAATAAAAAGAATATTACTATAAACTATCATGTTGATTTTAAGTGAAAAAAATTTAATTTTATTTAAATAAAATTTTAAATTTAAGTTTTATAAATAAAAAATAAATATTAAGATAATTTTCTTCTTATATATTCAATGTAACACAATATTATTTTTAAATATTGAATTTAAGCTTTATAAATAAAAAATAAATATTGAAAGAATTTTCTTCTTATATATTCATTGTAACACAATATTATTTTTAAATATTGAAAGA